AGAAGAAGAAGAAGAAGAAGAAGAAGAAGAAGAAGAAGAAGAAGAAGAAGAAGCCTCACATAAAGACACATGTCACATTTTCTCGCTACACTGCGTCAGCTTTTTGCCCCATCTTTCTCGCCAAGTAATTGGATTTCCAAAAATGCTCTCTCCACACACACACACATCCACAATATGATTAGATAGCTTCATTAATTTTTGTTTTGTTCGTTTCTCTTCTTCGTTCTAGTGAGAAACATTCTTTTTTTACGTTATGAAAAATATCCCCTCTTAATTGTGCATCTTTGCTCATCTCCCTTTGAGCTATAATTGGCAGCTGCGAAAGGCTGTTTTGGCTCATGATAGGATCGCGTTACAAGTATGTATTCTGTGTACGTTAAGAAATGGCGTTATATTCACATACAAATTTAATATGGCGGGTAAAAAAAAACAACAACAACAAAAAAACAACACGCCAAAGGCGTAGAAATAAAAACCTATGCAAAGACGTGTACGGAATTGGAAAACCAACCATAATTTGTTTCACAGCTGTGTGGAATCAGGCGCTCGTCAATTTTTGGGCATATGGAGTTATTTCGTCAATTTCGGGGCATTTGAAGTTATTGGTATCACCTTAACGTTATTTTGTTTGCCTTGCTTTCGAAGAAAGAATTAGCCATTTATCTTGTGTACATGTCGAGATACTTGCAATGGAATGAGGCGGGGTCACCTGGTTTCAGAGGTAAAATTAATGAGAAAATGGCCGCCAAAGTTTGGTGATTTACAAAGCTTCAGAGTCCGTGAAAACTGACAAACTTTCATTCTTTATGCCTTTAATGAATGTTTTTCAGTACAACTCACGCTGAAATGGGTTCTTAAATTGACATAAAGGTGTTGAGCTAAAAAAACATCAATTTCGTTAAAAATTACCAAACCAGCGGAAAAGCTTAAGTTTCTTTACTTTCATTATTTTGACGAGCGCCTGATTTCACCACGCTCATTTTTTTCTTTTCGAAGTGCCAGGCCGAAAAAGACACCGACAATCATGCTTCGCTACTCATTTCTCTGCACGGATGCTCTCAAAAAGCCAGTCTTGTCCCCATATTTCATTTGTTCAAGTTTTGTTGTTGTTGTTTTTTTGTTGGGTTTTTTTTGGTGGCGG